TCCTTGAGCTCGAAGAATAATCGAATGTGATTGGTCTATTTTCTTACGGCCTTACGATTATAACTAAAACTTTGTTACGTGCAATGGCCTTAATTTGTAAGAGCTATCTTGTATAATTGGTTAAATAAATAATAAATTGAAGGAAGGTTAAACGGCCAAAATTCGAGCAAAGAAATTTTAGATGTTACTTTAAAGTTAAAATTTAATAAAAATATGACTTATACCTATATAATATTTGCGTTTCGACCTACTTGGTCTTCATCAGAACGTTCTAATCGATAAAATTACATTGATAAATTACGCAAAATAGATATATATTATAAAAGATTGAGAGGGGCAATGGCTGATGGTCAATTTTAAAAGTCACGTTACAATAAAAGAGTTATAACAATTTTCGTCGTTAGACAAGTGCGAAATTAAAGTTCTAAAAATAAAAAGTCCAAAGTAATGTGAGAACCGACTTATTGATCGTTGTGAGAATACAAAAAAGAAAACCATAAGATTATTTGGATCATCCGAAGTCGAATATAAATTTAAAATAAAAAACTTACATAAGTGATTATATAACGTGAAAGGAAAAAGAAAAAATAAAAAAAAAATCTCGATCAGCCAAAGGCGTCTTGTCTATATAAACGTAAATATTATATACACATATTTTTAATAAATTTTAATTTCAAACTAACATCTAAAATTTCTTTGCTCGAATTTTGGCCGTTTAACCTTCCTTCAGCTTTGCTATTATCGAACGTATGTATCTTTGTTTGTATTAAATAATCAATTCCTATCTTATTAATAATTTAACATATGTAATAAAATGATCATTATACACAAGAAATTATTTATTTTTCACGTATAATTTTTTTGTGATAATGTACCATATATATACACAGTTCAGATATTTAATTATTTATTAAAATATACACGTTCTACAATTAAAACTACGCGACCATGATTTATATAAAAGATGTTACAAATTTCCTTTGGTAACATTCAGCACACTGAGAATTGCTTGAACTTCTCAGAGTCGTAATTATTAGAGATCCTTAACCAGAGATCGGACAATGTGCTGTCGTAAGGTCAAACCGGATATAACGTTTTTGACGGCGGTTCATTTAGATTATTAAATAAATATTAGAGCTCGAAAAAAGAACCGGATAACCGGGTATCCGGGTACCCGCCCGCTTGCCCGTTGTATATGGATCTAGACCGCGTTTGCGAATATCCGGATAATTCGGGTACCCATATCGTATGAGTACCTAACTCGACGTGTCTCTGGATACCCGCAGAACTTGTCCAGATCTGTATACAACAGGTAACGGGCGACTGGATGGATCCCTGGATACCTGTAGCCTGCAGGGTATTCTGAGCTCTAGGTTTGACGAACACTTATGGCTAGGTCGGCTAGGATTTCTTGGTTAATTTTACATATCTTTCTCTCTTGTAAGGTGGATGGATGACAATCAGAAATCGTTAACGGGTTTGTCTGATCTCTGCTTAAGGATCTCTAGTATATAATTATCACTATTATATATTTTAAATTACCATAAATTGTCAACAGTCGTTTACGACAGCTTTCTGCTTCAAATGTTTTATAAGTCCTTTCAACAACGTTATGCGCGTAGTCAATCTGTTTCGAGCTTGCTGTAAAGTTTTAATTTTTCTTTGTTGTTTTGCTATGATTCGTTTTGCTAACTCTAAAGCTCTTTCAGCTTTCTTAGGTGTATCAAGATCTGAAATTGTAATGTCACCAATGTACCGAAGAGTACGTGCAGCTTTGACAGGTGTTTGGAAGCATTGAATAGTTTCACAACTCGGCAGTGTAGATGCACGATTTACTATTGCACAAGTTTCTATAAGAGTGAGCAATCGTTAATTAATTTATCGATTACAATATATTTTAATCAAAGACATAAAAAAAATACAGTAATGTTTACCTTCTAATGATATAGTGGGATCTTCGTCGACAGATACAAACTCGAAGTTTCCCTTGTCCACATCCACAGTTATATTATCAAAGGTGGCATTGTCAACGTCTACCTTATCAAAACTTATGTCATCAACGATTTTGTCATAAACGATTTTATCAGTAACAGTTCCATCATCCAAGTTAACATTCTTGACATCTACATTGTCAAAACTTATGTCGTCAATAGTTTCATCGTGGCAACTTTTCAATTTTTTCAGACAATCTTCGCCCACGATTAAACTCGAATGTTGACGCACGTTCTTCTTTCTGATAATAGATGGCACAGCATTGGGCTTAACAAACGTACCCTTATTAGCTTTGTGTATTATATCGTCTTTTTGAAAATGATTCGAACATAGTTTAGTAGCTGTGTTTAAAACTCGCTCATCAATGCCACAAAAAGTTAGCCACTTCTCACGAGATTTCTCGTTTTTCGGAAATCTATTGAAGATAAATAAAATTAAATTTGCAATATGAATGAAATATCGTACAAAAAAACTAACCTAAATGTTATCATATAATTCATTGTGTGTACAAAATATTATATATATTTACTTACGTATAATAAGAAACCGATTTATCTCGGTTCCCACATAACAGGCAATATGGATTTGGCATTCTTTAAATTAAGCTATAACTTTTTTTCAAATAAATTTGTTCACTTATCACTTGCGTTCGATGACATCCAAGTGTCACGTGGTCAACATCATACATCATACATCTCTTCCCCAACGGTAACCATAGCAATGACGATATTGGCGCATGCGCATTGCGCGATTGGAAGTCATTGGCCGTGTTCAGCAGACACAACTGTTGAGTTCGTCTTATCAACACTCTGCGTTGATTGGTTGGTTCTAAAAGTAAGAGCCAATCACGTTCGACTGCTACTCAGCGGCTTGGTCTGCTGAACGTGCCCACTGTCCACTGTGTCATCTGTCCCTTGTTGGAAAACGCACTATGAATACCGGCCTAAGATAATAGTGACTATAGTGAGAAAGCATTGGCGCGGGCGCGTTGTGGCATCCCTGTCAAGGTAGGAGGGTGGGGGAAAGGCATGCCGTCTGTGTGAAAACGGTATTAAAACGAAATAAAACGGGCCGTAGGTTCTGCAAGAGGATCTCTGACCGTGCGGTATTTTGGGTACGATATCGAGATACCGGATTTAAATTAACCGATCGATCGGACGTATACACTGTCGATGGCACTATGATCGATACTGTTCGCACGCCCCGCGGCAGTCCGTGGACGTAAAAACTCAATGATCTCGACGCATGGTGTCTTGCTGACGGAGTGACACGACGACGACGGAGAGTGATAACTTCCCAGTTCCCCGGGAAGTAAACGAGTTTTTCTAGCGATTCGCGGAAAAAGGTAAGGGGACTGAGGGGACGACGGGACGGGATGCCTGTGAGTTGGTGTGAGTCCCGTGGGATACCTCGCCCTCGCGACATCGTGCGATCGTCACTCGCAGGTCGTAGGAGCGACCAAGCCGCCGAGACGTTCCACGAGAGACGAAGAGCTCGCGGCTAATATTACGACGTGACTCACGCGACTTGCACGTATATACGTACGCACGCTCGCTCGAAGTGCGACGGCCGTTACCGTTCACGTATATTCGGCGAGCTTTATCAACGCTCCGCGTCTCTCGCGATCTTGGTCGAGCGAGCGCGAGCGGAGCGACGCGCACGAATCTCTTTCCTCGATTCCGTCGTCACGCCGGATCTTCTCCAGGTGGAATTGCGAGACCGACCGATTGCGTGATACGTGAATTTAATTGTCGGCCCTAACCTCGCATAATCGCGATAACTTGTTCGCGCGATCTCTTTCTCTCCCCCCCCCTCTCTCTCTGTCTCAGGCGTATAGCAGAGAGAGAGAGAGAGAGAAAGAGAGATGTCAGTTTAACGACGAAAAAAAATTCAGTTACGTTGTTCCCTCGACCGCCCTCGACCTCGGTATTCGGCTTCGAGATTTCCGTCTAACCCGTTTGATAACGAGCGAGCGTTCTTGTCGCTCGTGGTAAGAATATTAAAAATTTGTCTCGCTCGCACGAGATGCGCGTTCTCGCGTTGCACCCCGCCAGCCCTGCGCTCCCTGCGTATTAATTATAATGTCGATCTCTCTTTCGCATTTTCTCCCATTATTTCACGCTTTATCGCTCCCTCGGAAAAGTCGACGTCTCTCGTCACGTGCGCTTATCGGTAACATGGACATCGACTTTCCGGAAATAGCGCGTATTATTTGCGAGATATATACATACTCTCGCTTAATCGTATGCGCGCATACAATCATTTGCACTACGATGAGATTACATTATTCTCAATGTCATCTCGTTTTCCTTTTAACGCGTCCCTCCCTCGGCGTTTTCTTCACCTAGCGTAAGTCGCGTTTAATGCTCTACGAGTATTTTTAAACAGTTGATTTATTATGTGAATCTAGCGAGTAAATCTACATAAGGCCTATTCTTTTCAGCTGAACTTGCACGAGCCTCATCTTTTTTTTTTTTTTTTTTTTTAATCCAACGTGAAAAGGAAAAGAGGAAAGATGAACCATGCAAGAAGTTCAACTAAAAAAAACAGGCTTATGTATTATATTATATTATCCTGTCTGCGTACACACACACGCACGCACAACTCATACACATACTACTGTTCAAAAGTTTGGAAGCACTACCTTCCTAAGAAAAACAATAGTGGTGCTAATAAAATTCTCTATTCTTCCTTCTATTTTATTCTCTAAATGGAATTTTTCTTTTGAAAATGATTAAAAACAAATAATACTGTGTTCAGTAGTTGAAAGTTGAAACACACAGTACAGTTTCTCATATATATGATGGTTTTAGAAGTATTGGCACTACTGTTATTTATATATAGAGGCAAGAGAATATAACATAATAACGAAAAAAGAAAGTTTGAATTCATGTGCCATATGTAACTTCTTGGAATTGAAAATACCCCTAACAAAAAAAAACATGCAAACACACATACATATATGCAACAGCCAAGTCTGTCGAAAACAAATTCTGCAAAGTATCTGCTACAAATTTTGTCGGCAAAAAAGCTACAGATTTGATACAGGATCTGGCATATACAACATTGTTGATAGAATACCGGTAGTAGTAAGGTTTGCTGATAAAATATGATGGCAGAAATGAAACTTTGTCATACTTGCTACACAGTTTGACATTTGCCGACAGAAACCAAGCAGAATCTATGAAACGTAGAGATTCCATTCTATTATTTTACTATCAAGTTGTATCAGCAAGTATTGTTGTTGAAACATGAGCTTAATGCAGACATGGTTGATAATTTGCCAATTTTTAATCACATATTTACTGCTGGTATATTACACACAATTTATTTATTGCATAAAAGTACATTATATATATTTTATATATATCTATTACATACCTATGTATATAGGGTGTCCCATGATACGATTAGGATGTGTTATTGAAGTCATTTAAAATTGAAATTGTTTAATAAACACATATACCCGTAAATGCTTCCTACAACCATTGAACGTTGATGTGAATATTTGAAACATTTTCAAATAAATACCTCCAGACTACTTTCTTTGAGGGCATATGAAGTCAGGCAGAATTATGGATGCAGCAACGCAAGTAAGAAATTCTCCTGGCATGGTGGAGCGAGCTGTTAGATCACTTTTACGCAGGGCAAGACTTTGTATTGAATCTGCAGAAGATAATTTTGATCAGAATTTGTAATACATTTGTAAATATATAAGTTAAATCAAATGTCTTTTTTCTTTCCTTTCTCAAATATTCACATCAACTTTCAATGGTTGTAGTTTTGTTAGGAAGCATTTACAGACATATGTTTATTAAACAATTTCAACTCTAAATAACTTCTAAATGACTTCAATAATACACCCTTAATGTATGGACCTCGAATTATGGGACACTCTGTATGTAAAATGAATATATTTTAAGTATCTATATATTGGCCATTTCCTGCAACAATAACATAACTATAAAAAAACAAAGTTTTCTAGAAAATGAGTTGAATATATTAAATTACTAAAATTTTGTAATATTATTTTTAAATGCGATTTTGATGTAATAGGTGATTGTGTAGAGGAATAAAAGTATCTAGCTATATATTAGTTTTTGATTCAATGTATTAAGTTCTCACCATTCTTTTGAGTAAACAATTCAAAGATAACCGTTTTTAAGTTGTGTTATTGTAATGTAGCAAATGAGCTATATTTTTTTAATACATACAACAAAATTTATATATGTATATAAAGATAATTTTGTTGTAAAGATAATGTTATTATACTTTAAAAACGGATATATTATCATCAAGAGATATTTACAATGGAAACAATGAAGCTAAGCGTTTCTTAAGCGTTAATTTAAGAGAGAAACATGGCTTGAATAAAAACTTTTATTCTAGTGAACAGAGGGATGCCACGTAGCAAGCGAAGAGGACCTTCCAGCACAAACCACAATCATACTCCCATTGATATGTCAGTATCTGGTGCACATGAAGAAAGTTTACCTAGGCATCCTTCAAAACGGTTAAGACATACCTCTAGGTTTGAAACCATATTTTATAATAACAGTATATAAATATATACTGATATTTGTTGAATTATGTCTAACAATATTCTATCATTACGTTATGAAATAAAAAAAATTAATATTAAAGGCGATCTTAACTTCGACTGTATCCAGTGTCTTTTTAATACAGTACTTTCTTAATTGTCACGTATATATTAACTCAATCCATTATTGAGTTAAATAAAAGAAGCTATTATTTTGTTTTCAATATACGAATAATATTGTTGCAGTGCCAGACGATATGCAAAATCTGACGATATATCCAATGCGTCAACATTTTCCCAAAAACGTTGCATCACCTGGTTCAGGGAATACACCTCGCCAGATGATGCGGACACTCTTGGACCCGAAGGAATGGAAAAGTTTTGTGAGGATATCGGTGTAGAACCTGAAAATGTAGTGATGCTCGTACTCGCATACAGGATGAACGCCCGTCAAATGGGCTTCTTCACACTGAGCGAATGGCTTAAAGGATTCTCGGAGCTGCAGTGCGATTCGATTAGTAAAATACAACAGAAGCTCGAGTACCTAAGGAATCAATTAAATGACGCATATACATTTAAGGGAATCTACAGATATGCTTACGATTTCGCTAGAGTATGTGCGACGTTATCTGTATTAACAGTGTTCGGATATACACGTACATGGGTGTAGACATCAAAACGCTTTTGTCTATAACCTCTGATGATTTCGCTTAAACTTACAGGACAAAGATCAGCGTAGTATGGATATGGAAACGGCAAGAGTAATGTTACAACTGCTTTTGGGAAAACATTGGCCATTGTTTACGCAGTTTGCTCAGTTCCTAGATCAATCAAAGTACAAAGTGATCAATAAAGATCAATGGTGCAACATATTAGAATTTTCACGTACAATCAATCATGACTTATCTAATTATGATTTAGACGGAGCGTGTAAGTGCACAGGAGGAAACGTTTATATTGATTCTAATGAAAAACTTAGTGGATTAGTTTACATACATAGTATTGTACTTAACATACGATCCTTTTATAGGGCCAGTAATGCTTGACGAATTTGTTGAGTGGTTAAAAATTCAACGAGGTGAGGGATCGTCCTCAGCAGAAGCTAGAGGCAGCTGAAACATCATAAGAATAGTCCATTGAACTAAGAACAATTCGTTTCTTTTTATCATAATATTCTGTAATTAACGAAATTTCTCTGTTTATAAATATCATAATCTCGCAATATTTCAATTACCATCATTCATACTATTTTTTTTATATGATTAAATGATAGTGATGTATTGTAAGTAGCTTATCTTAATATAATTCACAGTATCTTCCTATATAGATCTGGCTGAAAATTTTCATTTGATTCATTGTTTTACTTATCGTCACTTGCAATTAATCCAGGGTTCGCCGCGGAAACTCTTGTGATTAGAAATAAAACTATTTTGATATAATATTTACTTGTGCAATTTATAAAAATAATTTGGGATATCAAATTCGTGGATAAGTGAGTTGAACTAATAATACATTTTTCAAATTGAATAAAACGATAATTGCTATTGACTTCCAGTGATCGTAGACTGTACGTTTGTGTAATTGCAGATCAAACGGTCTCACTGCGTATATCTTGATACGTTGTTAGATACGTTATCTGAATAAATTGATCAAGAGTCATGTATAACTTTCACATTCCACATCACTGAGTTAATATCGAGAAAGTGCATCTGTGAACTTGGGATTTCCACAATTCACAACTTTCGAGACAAATTTTGTTGATACTTACCGTGTTATCCCTTACTTCGTCCATCGTAAATCTTATTGTAACGGCTTTTTTTTTACAAAATTTAGGTATGTATAATATTGTCAATGCGAGACATAAAAAAATTACGCGAATATCACTAAGTAGACTCATTGGTGAGGTGAAACACTATGCAGGTGCTACTACAACGTTTAATACTCTAAAGGCAGTACCATAAAGTGTCAATATCATGCGCTATTTAGTCAAAATTAAGTAATTCCTGTAAATGCTAAAATTATGGATGTATATTAGAATAACGAACTCTCTTATTAAAACAATATTTATTAAGTATATCTATTTCCCGATATCTTTCAAATTTATTGATATCACAGACTATGCTTTATTAATAAGGACGCAAAATTCACTGTCAAAAGACCTGTTTCATATTTATTTATAGAAGCCTCCCTATTAATACGTCTTTGATATCATTGTCTCGTTCAGTAATCTTAACAATCTGTGTGTTGAAATCAATCGTTATCTTATAATTTCTATGATTGTTTCTCGCATCTCGAATTTTGAACATCGAGATGTAATACCTTAGAACATCGCCAAGAATTTTTGCGAAGTTTTTGAAACTCATGTGTATATGGTATAATTATATAAGACAACTATATGTAAAATATATTAATTTGATAAAGTGCTAACCATTTTTATTCAATAAATTTACAAAACTTTTAAACTTATACGTCACCGAAGTCGTTCCGTTAATAAATAAAAAAAAAAAAAACGTAACGAACTCGACAATATCAATCTGTAGATTTCTTCAATTATTAAAGTGAATACCTGCATATTTTTTCGCATATTTATTTCTCTGTTATGAAGGATGTAATTAGTATTGCATTAACAATGGTGATTTTTGCATTTATACCTATAGCTTCTAAACGCAATAAACATAGAATTTCTGTATAAGATGTTTATTGAACATTTTGTAGGTTTACATAGTTTGCAAGTAAGTTAACAATGCGAATTATAATTACAGGATGTTGCAATATTACTGCCATTACTGGAGAGTGTAATGTATTGGATGATAATAAGAAGCGAATAAAATACCTTTTTCAATATCATTCAGCTATTATTCTCGACTGTCGTTTTTTATTAAAACATTACATATGAAACGTCATTATAGAGATATAAACAGAAGCGCATATAGCTGCGTAAGAATCTTTATTAACAAAATTTTCTCGCTTGAATCTTTAATAATGTATCGCGCATTTTTTGATGCGCTACAATTATCTATACATTGCCTATACCATAAACGTAAAAAAAAGGTCGAACTTAAATAACTTAATATGGCTAATACATTCTATACGTAAACGATTGTACGAAACTATCGTATACTAAAAAAAAAAATGCTCGACGCATTTATGCAGCACAGCCTTGACTAAAGTACTACTATAATCATCAGGAAAACCGACACTGCCCTAAAGTGAGAATAGAAATACTGCCGATAGTTAACAAAAGACATAAATATCTACCCTTGATAGGTATCCTGAACAGCCTGGCGCACATCTTTAACGAGGACGTATACAGCAATATGCTATCGAGATCCTCACCCGGAGTGGTTTGATATACGAATGGCCGTATACGTATCTCATGTCCCACAGCCCGGATCGTGGAGCAAGCATTCGTTAAACGAGCAGCCTGAAAGGAAGATATATTAATGAATCAATCGGAAAGAGAAATGATGCGACACGACGACGCGACGGTGATATACCTGTATAAACGGAGCGACCGAAATCAGAATCCACAATATAACGTTTATTACGTTGATATACGTAACAGGATTGTTATCCCCGTCGTTGACGTAGTATTGAAACAACCACACGATACCCGCAGCCGCCCAGGACAGATTGACTATAGTGTAAATGCAAACAGCTGGTCCTAATTCGTCGTTGAAGTATTTCAGCAGCTTCTTGAACTCATCGATGTCCTGCGATCCACAAACGAAGGGAAATTTGTTGATAGAATAAACGAATAAGAGAATTAGATCAAAATAAATAATAAACAGCTTATTTATACACCAACTACAAAATTCGATTCAAGGTTGAGCCTAATATGATAAAATGAGTATCGTTTTTTTCCTTTATGCTTACTTCTACCAGTCCTCAATTTAATTTCTTGTGCAGAAGATTTCTCGATATTTTGAAACCAGTTTTGATTTTTAAGATTCATTCTTCAGTCGACGGCTATAACGTGGATATTAATTTGTTGAACGTAAAACATTAGGAATTATATTTGACATTATAATAATGTGTAGAACGTCAGGTCAAGGCCGGTTTCAAGGCACTGAGGAATCTTGTGCGCACAAGGAGTCGAATTGGAGACTCCTCCAATTATAATGCATAAAGAAAAAGATATAATCATTTTATCGCACATACATTTGTGTCTTTGACTCTTGTTGGCCTCAAAATTTTGATATTTATTTATTTCTTTTTTCAGATGTAAAGTAAAAGATTGTTGTAACATATGGATCACAGACCCTCATCCAATCGATGGGCAGTAGAATATGTTGGAGCAACTTGCCGCGTAGAAAGTAAAGATGCGACATCAGTAGCTGTCCTTGCAGACAGTAGCTTGTTATAATGGTTCCCTGAACCATGTCGTGCCATAAAGTGCAGACGATTAGGAATACCTTCAACATTATCTTCACCTGATACGGACTACGGGATAAAATGTGAATACTTTAATTTATTTTTGTCCTCCCGAAGCAATAGTTTCCATTCTCATGCACGTTTACACGTTAATAATGCGTAACTACCTGTTTTCCATCCACTGAAATACAATATTTCTTTCCGCCATCTGAATGTTCACTGTAACCAGTGCCATAATCATCCATACGATGCTCAACGCTATGAACAGCCAAAGTATGTGGACAAGGCGCTTTTGATTACCACGATTTATCGGATTCGAAGAGAGCAGAAACGCTCTTTCCATCAGATTCTGCAGCTGCTCGTTTTCCTTGACGCGAAATAAATATATTGTGTACAAATAGGCTGCTAAATGTAATACACTTGGGATTAAGTAGCTGAATATCACGTTTCCATAGCAAGACGGTTCTTGCGTCTGTTCCCCGACGTCCAACGCGTTTTTTTCCAAGGCTAATATTTTGTAACAGAATCCTCGATCTCTCCTAAAAACGACGGCAAGTACATGTATCTTATTACAGCACTCATAAATTAAATATAAGTTAATAATAAAGTATTGAGATACACAAAAGAAATATGTGTATATTTTATATCAATAAAATTTTTTTTGCATTTTATATATAATATACACATACATAGGGTGTCCAATTTCAAAATTTACAGTGCTATATCTCGCGAACCGATGATTTTATTGAAAAATGTTTTAGACAAAAGTTGCATGTAGAATAATGAAAGAAATATTCTTATGATACATAACGCATGTAAAAATAGGATAATAAATTACCTGAAGCAAGCCATATATTGTAAAATATATCCAATACACATAAATATAGTAACTTGCACAGTATGAAAATTTGCTAAAATGGAACATCGTAAAAAATGATCGGAGTCATCGCTGCTAGTTGGTCTCAGTCCCATTACTCCCAATAGCCTCAGATAAGGCCTCAGTATTTTATGTTTACAATAATGAAGTACAGCTGATGTACTAATGAAGTTCTCATAATCCTCAGTAATTTCACCCACTTGCTACGCAACAAACAAATCGGTTTTAACTTGAGATTGCATAAAACTCCATGTTATGTATTGTAAAATCTAAACAATAAGATCCCGAATTGTCCATTGTTTATTAAAAATTGTTATTCTAACTACAAATATCAACTTACATCAGTGCTTTGAAAAGTTGTTGTTATACTCGTTAATATAGATGGTACCTCCGTATACTCTTCATGATTTTGTTGAGGTAAATCTTTATTATTTTTGGATTTATTATTACAGTCAATCTGCAAATAATTTTATTACATTAATTTCGTCTCGTTATTGTATAAGTTATATAGACAAAGTGATTATTTATATACATTTTATTTTATTAATTTTAATAAATATCTTATAATTAGAGAAAAGATGTATTATACTAATTATACACATATATATACGTATGCATACGTTTATATATGTATGTATCACTTGTACTTCTAAGATATTGAAATTAATGGACACATACACACAGGCAAATACACATTGAAATATAAACTTTATAAAAATATCATGAGAGAATTACCATATTAATTCAATAACGTCAGAGAATATAAATTATGATCAGAGAAATCAATTTTGTATATATTGCGCTCTTCTATATAGGTAAATAATTATATCGAGTATATCTTAAAGGTAATACTCGCAAGATAATTTGATTGCTTAATACTTGTTTATATCTAAATCCAAACAAGATTCTATAACTCAATATTAAACTTCAAGGCTAACAAGTTGGTACATTAGGAAAAATAGAAAGCAATATTTCAATTTGATATAACATCTAACGTGCAAAGTTGTAATAATAAGACTTGTACAATCTGCTGTAACCGTATTTGTGAAAAAGTTGATTTATCAATTAAAATAATAGTAACTCACCGACGCCATTTGGAACTCCTTGGCCACGGAGTACACTGCTTTCGGAACTTCAGAAGAAAATATTTATATCAATAGTTTGACATGTGGCTCACCCTAACATATGAATATAAATCATATCAGCTCCGAGATGACATTTCACCTTTGCTCAGAGATATCCGCGTGCATCACGGCTAAGGCAAATCGTTGCATTTGTGCAAGAACACGGTGCGGATTATAGAGCAAAGCAACAAGTGAATAAAAAAAATTTTGTATTTACAATATTATAATACAAAGGTATTAATAAATTAACATTTTTACATATTAACATTAGTAAATGTGTAAATTAACGTTTCTTTTTTAAAATACTTCCTGCGGGTCGTAACACGTTGTACTCTGTTCTACGACGTTTTACTTCTGCGCGTTTTTTCTATAAAAAAATAAAACAAATAAAAGACAATAAATATAAAGTACATTTTGATCTGTAATCAAATTAAATGTCAGTGGATATACCTTTCCAATAACAAAAGTCATCTCCCTACTGCCGCGCGAACCAGATACTTTAATATTATGCGTCTCTTCATTCTCCAATCTTTCGCCAAACGTTGCTCTATGGAACATTACAGCACGATTTTAAATGATTCAAAATCCAAAACGAGTAATACTTAGAGCCACTATTTCCTACATCTGTTAACTTCTTACCGACCATTAACCAATAGGAGTTGACTATTTCGGTAGTTAATGGTCGGTTAAAAATTAACAAACATTGGAAATAGTGGCTCAAAGAATCAAAGTAATATTATATTAGTATTTACTTGTTTCGTTTTTTCCTTTCCGGCCCACCTTCCTCGAATTTCACCTCACGTTTAATCTCGTTCATCCTCGGTTCATTTCTCGCAATCAGATTATCGTCATCCTCGTTCTCCTGTTCCTTCTCTCTTTCGTTTTTCTTGATTAATCGATAATTCTTTCGAACTTCTTTAGCCCACGGTTTCTCATCGTCTGAGCTATCGTCGTCAGAGCTATCATGAACGAAACTTTCATCTGAGCTATTGTCTTTAAAAGAAAAATATATATGAGAATTTTTTATATATGCAAAAGACTTGTCCACTGAAAGAAAAGCATTACTTTAAATCTTTTCGTTTTACCTTTCGGCTCATCCTCATCAGGTTTATTTTGAGCTTCTTCTTCTTCTTGCGCCAACCGCTGTTGCAATTTCTTAGCTTTACTTTTAGCAAGTTGAGAAATAACAGGATTCAATAAAGAATACTCCTCAGAGTCTTTATCGACTTGGAAATCAGGATTGTTAAAGAGAGCTTTAAATCGTTCGTCTTTCAGCAGATTAGAAGACGTTTGTTTCTTTTTGTTATTAACATTTGCATTCTCCATTAATTTCAATGCCAGTTCCTGATTTACACTTGGCAATTTTTGCACCTGTTTAAAAAAAAAAAAGTAAATTAATAGTGTCAATTTTTAAAGTATTATATACAAATACAATAAAAAATAGAACTTGATATGTTAACTAATGATAAAATCGAAAGATACCTGTACTCTGCTGACGGTCTCCTCTTTAATCTTATCGCGAATTCTCCTCTTTTTATATTCTTCGAATTCAAACGGTTTCATTACATCCCTTGCTTTTCTGTATAATCGCATATCCATAAAGTAACCGTGCATATAAGCCCTCAGTAGATTAGTGCCCTTCAGATGCGAAAGACCTAATTCGTCCAATTCCTTATCGGTTACAAATTTGTAATCATCGTAGATGATGTCATAATTCAGCTCTTCCAATTCCTCTGTAAGATTGTCGAGGAAACTGCACCAATAAGGGGCAGGGCCAAAACTAGGGATGTAATAAATTTGCATTTTTGTAGTTTCATTAGCCATCAGTAGCATACCGCTGTTCGGTATGACAGACAAATCATTGAAGTTGTGTTGAGCCTCTATGGAAGTGTAAAGTTTACCCTGAAGAAAGAAAAAATAATTCTGAGATTGTAATTTGTAGGACAAAATATATTATTTTATTACATTTTGATTACGATATATAAGGCTTAACTTTCAGAAATAGTAAACTTTACTCACGCTATCCCTTTCCCATATTTTCGTAATAGAACTATCCATAGAGTAAACGAGATCCATCTTTTGGTGGAAATCTATGCACTTGATCGGCAATCCGTACATATGGTCCTTAGTTAAAAACGGTTTATTAGATCTTATATCATATAAAAATACATGTCCTGTTGATGTGCCAACTCCCAAATTCAATCCTCCTTGAAATTTCAAGGCAGTAATTGCAGGAACTGTCTTCAAACTGATGGAAAAAAGTCAATTGTATAAATCTAGAAGATAGAATCCAATAAGAAATATAAATTCCGCTCTTATGTCTTACTTTTCTTGAGTGATGCAGTGCAAGGCGCAATCGAGTATACCCACTCTATTCCTCACTCTCGGATCCCAAGCTTCAATTTTTCCCTCTTGAGTGCCGACCGTGAGTAAATGATGCAATGGATTTATCTCGCATTTATTTAACGATGTCCCTTCCGTTTCGAACGGTTGCAAAAATTGGCCGCGTTCAAGATTTATTCTGTATATCTTATTACTGCAAAAACATGTCATAATGTCATAACAATTTTCTGTGGTTTTAGATATATATTGTACATATTTTTGTAACATATTTTGCAATCTGAGACTTTTAGAACTGACCTATCGCCTACGATAAAAATATCGCATGACGGATAGTGATATTTCAGATCCCTTCCAAAGTTTGGCACTCTGAGCTTATAATATTTCCCATGAGCAGCGTGAAATTCAACGCTGCGATCGCATTGCAAAAATATTATCTAAAAAAAAACACGATAAAATTAATAAAATTCTTCTGATTCCAATCGATTCATACACATTATTTTAACAATATAATTAATAACTAAAAACTTAAGATGTAATAGGCTGACAAGGGACGGCTGAAAACTGAACTCCATTGATTTCGATAGCAGGATATACAAAGAAAGTTCCTCTGAATATAATAATATCCTTATTTGTGTGCAGATGGTCAACCATTTCCGAGATATTTTAATAATAAATTTAGTAACGTCTTTAGTAGGATTTAGGATTAGGACACTTACATATGGGTATTTGTGATGTAGTGGGTATGGTAACTGCCTCATAATTTGTAGATTCGAGTTTAAACCCCGAAATTAATTAATTTTTTTTATTATATAATAATGTTTTATAATAAAAATAATTATTGTTAAAATATAATTTTAAAATAAAAAATTTATATTATATAAATTCTAATATAAATAGTCATGATATATAAAGTCTACAAATTATGAAGCGGTTACCATATTCACTATCCCATAAATACTCATAAGTGTGTGAGTATCCATTAGAGTGTATCAACATTCTACTCTAAAGATGCTACTAAATTTATTATTAAAATATTTCGAAAATGGTTGACTGTCTGCACCTAAATAGAGGTATCATTACATTCTCTGTACTTTCTCTATAAATCCTATCTGTTTCATCAAAATCGGTGAAGTTCAGTTATGAGCCTTTTCTTGTGAGTCTATGTACCTTGTACAAACTGTTTTATAGATCTTTGTTCAACAATGGTACTTACTTTGCTATAGTCGTCCGATATTGTTTCAAAGGTAACTACTTCGGAATCGAAACATCTCTCAAATTTCAAAGCCAAATTATGTACGTCAAAACATTTCACACGTGGTTTATAAATTCCTGTTGCGAGTATGTACTGCTCATCTTTAGAAACCCTAATAGACGTGCTTATGCCGGGCATGTCAAAGTCTTGTATAAGTTCGATGCGTCGTCGTATATCTAACATTAGATGATAGCATTAGATATTAATATAATATCAACGTTGAATATATATTTGAAAAAAACAAGAGCCATAAATATTATGCCCACAGACCTTTATTTAGATTTTAATAAAAATATACTGATATATAAATATAAAATATACTGATAAAAATATAAAAATATACACTCTTTTTCACAAAAAAGCAAAGATTCGAGAAATTATGGTCTCTCAATATTACGAAAGGTGTGATTATTAATAAAATAAAATGATTTTAAGTTAGAAATAATTAACTAATTAATTGCAAAGTTTCAATTCAGTTTAAAAAAACAAGCTTACATTCGTCAAAATCTAAATGCACATCCGTAAACTGAGTATTTACTATTCTCATAAATCGATATATAATTCTTACCGACATTCTTCTTCGATAAACTTCTCCTTTTTCGCTCCGATAACCACTGTAAAGAACAAGAATACACATTGAGATGTTACGCTTAACCTAAAACCCAACTCGATCTTGCATGTGTAGAGGAGCTTTTACCTCGGGGAGAGATTTTCCAGCGCTAAGATTGTAAATCTTTATGTTATTCGGTGCGGAGACCTGCATCCTGACTTTTATATGATAAATTACATAAAAAATCCTTTAAAAATCTTTATCCACACATATCTATACGCTGATAGAAACAGATAGAAAGCAAATAAATGTGGAGCTGGTGGAAGGTGGAATACGGAATACACGTGGTTGTAAAATTCGTGATTGGCCGCGTTCAGCAAACACAACTGTTGAGTTCGTCTTATCAACATTCTGCGTTGATTGGTTGGTTCTAAAAGTAAGAGCCAATCACGTTCGACTGCTATTCACGTGATTGGCTTAGGGCTATTGGTCCATACACATGTGCATAAGAAAATAGACCAATCAATTTTCTTATGCTTACGCATTATGCGTTATGCAGAAGTGTGTGCTCCCGGCTTTAAACCGAAATTCGGACGCAGTTCTAGCATCGTGGACACAATGCTTTGCAAAGCAGCCAATGACGTGCGTATGTATGTGTCATGTGACAGGTAACCATTTGCTGTAGGCGGATCGGCCAATCACATCGAGAAGTGTCGTAAACGTAAAGGTTATCTATTTCAAATTTTAGACTGTGATTGGCTGGTTTCTTTACCCGCGTAAACACGCTACTTAACATTTTTCTGCGTGTCTTACGACTGTCGTCTGTTCCTGTATTCTTATCTTTCTTCTTTTTTTTTCCAACGCTTAATTAGACATATGTGTCTTAGAAGTTTAGAAGGTGCAGGAGGTGTAACATGGCGTAAAATTTCATTGCCTGCCATTCCGGGAAGGCCGGAAACCAGTTTTAAACGAGGCTCGTTTATCTTGCGTAGTGTGTTACATTAAAAAGTTGTAATCTTTTTAACTTGACGGAACAATGGCGAAGTTGAGAGTTGCACGGGTCAAGGAGGCGCCTGTCGTAAAAAGTATGAATACGTCCATCGTGAAGGTAATCGATTCTCACTTGACTTCTTAAACATTTCTCACAATACGATACTTACAACAAATCAGTCTCCCTCGTTCCCTCATTTCGAGTTTATTTATTGATAGCTGCGTTTCAATTTTTCAATATTCACTACCAGTACCGAAAATATGTATGTATATAAAATGTATGTGGCGTAAATACAGATTTTCATGCAGTAGTGATAGTGAATATTGTAATGCATTCTATGTAAGATCCTTTTCGGTTTTCGTTTCAGAAGCAAAGAAAAAAGAGAGATAACAAAGAATCGTCGGATGACGTACATAAAAATGATTTAAAGAGACTGAGTGCGTCTAATGAAGTAGCAACGGGTACATTTACAAGTAAGGAAAATAGTAAGAAGAAAAAGAAGCGTGGTAATAAATCTGATGTAAGAGACACAGAGAGGTCAGATGTTCCGACGAAATATTCGAAGGATGATAAAAAGATGTTAGAGGCATTTCGAGAGGCACAAATTAACGCGGATGGCAAAATGAAACGCAAAATGAAAAAGGATAAACTTGATGAAAAAAATATGGATGTTCCAAGAAAATATCCAAGAGGTTCAAAGACATGGAAGACATTCCAAGAAGTACCAATTAATGCAAATAGTAAAACAAAAGGTAAGAAGAAAAGTAAAGGACGAAAACACAACATGAATTCTGATCGCTCGAATAAGGATGCTGCAGGAGTTAATGATGCAAAGGAAAGAAAAAAGAAATTACAAACGTTTGTGAAGAAATCTATCGATTTTGAGAATAAAGAAATGAAAATTGAGAAACTTAAAAAGATGAGTGAGAAGAAGATGAAACGCATGTCGGTTGAAGCAGAGGCGCAGCAGATAAATCCCGACAAAGTGTTAAAGCTGAATAAGCATATGATAAAAATTAGACGATTAGAGGAGATGCTCGCCAATAAGTCGGAAACGAAGAAGGCTTTAAAAGATAAAATAACGATGCAGTTAAAAGCGGCTAGATTTAGATTTATAATCGAGATGTTGTACAACAATAACAGTTCACAATCTAAGCGTTACTTCAAAGGAGATCGTGATGCTTTTATGGCTTATCAGGCAGGATACAAGTGGCAGCTTCAACAATGGGTAGTGGATCCATTGGACGTCATAATATCATCAATTAGAAAACTGTTTGTATATTGTGCCTTATCTTTAAACAAAATTTACATAACCCTGAATGGTACAATGTTTTGATAATTTATAGGTCGACGGACAAGGTGATCGCTGATTTTGGGTGTGGTGAAGCACGACTCGCTGCTTCTGTTTCTCATACAGTATATTCATTCGACTTCATTGCTTTGAATGATAGGGTGCAAACTTGCGACATGGCTCATACTCCATTACGAATGGAAAGCGTCCACGTTGTCGTGTTTTGCCTCTCTCTAATGGGATCTAATCTTGGTGATTATATAATAGAGGCTAACAGGGTTCTTAAAAACAAGTAAGTAGTAACGATACTCTTGATTGGAATGTAAGAAGTTAATGCTTTTGTTTCAATAAATTTAGCGGTATTTTGAAAATAGCCGAAGTCGGGAGCAGATTCGAGGACGTGAAAGATTTTATAAAACTGCTGCGTAGCTATGGTTTTAAAAATACATGGAAAGATATCTCTCACGATCTGTTTTATTTTATGGATTTCAAGAAAGAAAAGAATATAAACATGAAAAAGGAAGCTCTTCCTCCAATTATGCTAAAAGCAAGTTTGTATAAAAAAGGATAAGTTTTTATTATATTATTGACCATAATTTTATTTTTTACATAAACTTATAGTTGTTTTGCATAAAAAGTGTGTTTCTATAAACTATTATACATTACTAATGTTCTATGCTTTATATACTACTATTTACTCGTAATAAGCTTTATATCAAATGTTGTTTGGATGACTATGGACAGTATTCATAGTAGAATGAATACCGCCCTATGATGTGCCTGTTTAAACAATATCCTATTCTTTAAAACACATATCTCTATTGGGCAGAAATTATATAGTTGTAAGTGATAAGAGATATTTAATTAATAATAGTTCTGTGTACTGTTTATAACATTATAAAAACGCAAATATTTTTATAATACTATATATTATATAATATATACGTATATTATATATGTATTGCATAGATAAAAATAATAAACGTATTGTTTCATTGTACAACATTGTTTACACACATAATTCAGATTTTATATACAAGCAAATATTTCTAATTTCTTTTCTAAAGAAGGTTGCTTATTTATATTCATATTTATACTTTTGTCAAGTCTGTGTAATTAAATTTATGCTATTTAGAAAAAATATTGTAAACAATTTATTAATTATATGCCTACTGCTATTTGATAACGCCGTTATTGTTTTGTCTGCAATCGCTTTTAGATTAATGTCTACTCTATTTTTGTTGAATACCAAGTAAAATAAACAATTGTCAATTTCAGATCTATTTGATGACATATTTAATTGTATTGCGTTTAATATCTGATTGTTGAGTCACTATCATTTTTTATACATAAACTACTGCATGAGTTATTCATTTGAGAAATCAGAAGATTTTTTATCATAATGTAAATCACTGATGAACAAAAGTCCAATTGTATCAATCTAGGTGATAGATTCTGATAAGAAGTGTAAAGGTAACATTTAAATCTTTAAAAAAGATAATTTTTAGTCACGTCACGCTGGTCACGCTGATCTCTGACGCCGCAATTTGATTTATACAAATTACATGTGTCGTTGACACGATTAACAGTTGTTTGCAGTTTTAGCATTTAACTCAAAAATGCTTTTAACAAAAATTAGTTTTATCGTATTTTATTAGTTTGTATTTAAATGGAGTTGCAAGATTATTTTTGAAAGATAGAAAAATAGATAAATATTTAATATTATTTTTTTCTTTACACTTTTATTTTATAATGCAAGTATATAAATTAATAATTGCAAAAGACAAAGAAGAATTAATATTTTCAAATAGGGTGTTACGTCCTGAATTATTTTAGGACATTGGGGTGGGTTATATGGAATTGAGTGTTAAGTGTTTCGCGTAAATTGAGATGGAGAATCCTAGATACGATTGATAAGTGACTGGTTTAAGACTTGTTTACCATTGATTCCTGGTTATTACTGCACTTTCTAAGGATAATTCGAATTTGCTGGGTGGGTTCTATTTTCGTAATTTTAGTTTTTGGTCGATCTTCAGGAACGGACGTTGATGGGGACGGTTAGTGCCATCTTGGACAGGGACGGGAGGCTCAGCATGTAATGCAGGCGATGGAAAAGAATTGAGGACGCTCGGGTCGAATTCATCCCCGATGTAATAGGCTCGCCGAAGCCGTTTTAGCTGGTGCGTTCGTCCCGATCTTCTCGAATAGACCATTGGTGACCCGATGTGAAATAACCACTTACCTTGCTCCGTTTCTCGATAATTGTTATATTCCTTTATTAGACAAGCTTACGCATATTTAGAATTTTTCTGTGATTAGTATTTATATTTCTCTTGACAGTTTGTCTTAATCAGAGAACATTACTTCATAAAAGTAACATATTACCGTTACTATTATCGTTACTTGTTACTAATTTTAAAAAGTACGCGTTGCTGTTACCGTTACTAATTGTAAGAAAGTAACGATTTGTTACTCTTTTGTTAATATTTTGTAATATTAAAGTAAAATATTTGACACGAATGTACACGATGATCTGTGTTTCCTGCTTCGGCGAGTTATGATTGGGATCGACACGACATTTGACGATTCACACGAAAGCATGTATGTAAGTGATTGGCGGTTTTAATTATGTTAAGATAAGGGGGTTAATGTAATATTTAATTTTAATGTGTAACGACTATTCCGTCAGTTATTTATATTCAACGATCAATGTTATTTTGTTACACTGAAGAAGGCCACAGTAATGGCCGAAAAGTTTGTTGATTAACTGTATTGTTCAGAATATATTAAATGTAGCACATATATCTCGCTAGTTCGCAAGCCCTTTGTTTAAATTTGTAAAATATTTGACTTTAAGGGTCGACAGGAGTAACACTACCGACCTCTGTCGGGTTGCTTAGCTGCGAATCCGTATTTTATTTATTATAAATTTTTTAAGAGCCAAAATAGAAAATCCGGCTATGTACCAGCTTGCGGCTGATATTACTGATTAAAATGAGCATAAGTTTAATGAGATTCGTTAATTAATTTGGCTAAAATTTGGGAAAAGCCGTTCCTAAGCAGCTTTGCAGGCTTGCTTAGAGCTGCATTGGAGAGTTTTTATTTCTGCCGCGACGGTACGTCGCCACCGTCAACGCAGAGTTCTCGGCTCAGGGACCAAGAGCCTTAAAATTAAATTATTTAATTTTAAATGACTTAAAGGTCTGTTTGTTTAATGATATTAATTGGATTCAATCGAGCTTTTTCAGCAGGATAACAACGTAATATGCATTGTAAAAAATAAATTCTTTATTTTTGATATAATTAGTTTATCACAGAATAGAAAATTAAATTATAAAGTGAAAATTACTTTGAATTAACAACGAAATAATAATTATTAATATAATACACTTAAAAGCATTAAACAACATCGATAAATTACGGTACAAAAAATTACATTTTTGGTAATGGTGTAGATAAAGCATCCATCATCATTTTTCTTCTAATATTTTTTTCATGTTCTGGGATACTATTGAACTGTACTTTTATAAATTCCATAAATGCATCATCTGCTTTAGATGTTTTTGAAGTTTTCATATAACTCATAATTCTGTTGCTTGTATTAAAAAAAGGTCGTTCCAACTCTTTAGTTTCATTCAGTTTTCTTCTTTTTAGTCTTGGAGAATGTATTATATCTTTGTCATAAGTACGTTCAATATCAATAATTTCCTTGTGCTTTGTACTTTGAGTTTCTTTATTACGTGAAAAAAAAGTGTTAACGTTGTCTGAAACATTTTTTATTTCTGATGAACTTTCGTTAACTAAAGTTTCATCTGATTGATATTTGGTTATATAACTATACGTTCTGAAACAAACAACAATTATATATTTAAAAAATGTCATATTATAAGAATTACATTAATTATTTATTTACAGTAATGAAGCTACTTTCGTCTTTTGATGACTTGGTCCAAGAATTTCAATTGAGTATATAATGGAAATTGACGAGAAGTTAAATTTGGAGCAGCATTTCCACTTTTAGACTGATTTTCTATTCTTTTTTTTTCACGATTGTATTGCTCTCTTAATGAAGTGCACCTTCTTCGGCAGTAATCAGGTGTGTAAAAATCACCTATAGTAGAAGTTAAAGAACAAATTAATTAAAATATGTGTAATGACTAAAAATAACTCAATAAAATTTAATTTTAATAAAAAGTTACCGCAATTTGTTTCAATCATTGTCTTAGAGATTTCGTTCCAAGCATTTTGTTTCATTAATTTATCCTTAAAAGTAGGATTTCTTTTGTCATACAAAAATGATCGTTCTCTATATAATTTTATAAGAAATCCATCGCCACTTTTTTCTGCACTAATAATACTTTCCGAATCATTAGAAAAACCTCCGATATCTTGGGTGTGATCATCAGAAAAATCTTCAATATCAGGAGCAGTAATACTGACTTTATATGTAAAATTATTACAATAATTATCATGATCTGACATGATGATCTTATGTAACTTTCTTGAATAGCAACCTAAAAAAGAATATAAATTAATAAGGAAAGAGCAAATAAAAAAAGATTTTTTTAAACACTCTTATACATATAAAGAAAAATTTGAGCTAACCTAAAATTACTATTGCTTGTTAGGAGCTGTGCACAATGAAAGGAATAGGGGGAACAGGAAATAGGGAACAGAGAGTTCAATATTAAATTAATAAAATTTATTAATGAAATTTATTAACATATGTAATTTATTAAAACAGAATAGACGAACAGAGGAATAGCGCTAAGGAACAGTGATGAAATTTTATTCTATATTTTGTATGCCATGTGCACAATGCATATGTTAATATTATACTGTTCCCTCTCCCTATTCCCTTCATTATGCGCAGCCCTTTACTTAACCAAATATATAAGCACAAAGATGGATCATTACTTCACAATAGACTTAATAAAAATCTTAATCACTTTACTTTCAACAGTTAAACAATTAAATTGAACGATTAAATATGATTACTCTTAATTTACTTAAAAATTATCAGGAATATACTACTCACCTTTGATTACGTAGCCTAGTACTTCTGTATGATACGACACAAAATATACCAAAGCTTGTGCGTATACTTACGTCTACGACTACTACCCAGAGATGCTATTGCATTTCTCACTGCTACCATGTGCTGTCACAGTATAAAGAGGTGGGTTTTCATGGGTAGAGTCCTATATTATGGCTTCTGCACACAGGACGCGGAAACGCTTGCCGCGAAGCAAGAAGCGACGCGGTAGCCAATCAACGTGTTGCTTTTCCATAAAAACCAAAAGTTTATTGGCTACCACGTCGCTTCTTGCCGCGCGGCAAGCGTTTCCGCGTCCTGGACCCCTATTCTGTAACTCGTAACGATAGTGTCGGTATCGTTACGTTGTCGTTGCGCAGGTATACTATATGAAAAAAAAGCTGCGAAACGACTACATAACCACACCGACACTGTCGTTAGAGTTACAGTTTCGGCGTCCTGTGTGCAGAAGCCATTAGTAGAGAAACGCAAACTTGTTTCTTTTTTTGATTGGTCGGTTATAGACCAATAGACAGCAGGACGTACGATCATAAGATGGCGGCGGCGGTAAAGTTAAATCATTCAAATAAATGATTATTTAGGACTCTATATAGTTACAGCCGGTCATGTTAGGCCCGTATTATACAACTGTTGACTAAAGTTTATAAATGCATTAGGTATTGCGTTGAGTTTTAATTTTTTTTTACCATCAACACGAGTTGTTTCTTACATGTCATCTGAAAAGTTTCTTACTTCACCATATGTATGTATTATCAGTTGGTGTCCAGTTTAGCCTTGAAATGCATGCTGTCCACAACGCTCTTCTTGCAGGATTTTTCGGAAAGCGTTTCATTATAAATCCTTTTTTGGAGAGAAAAAGAGAAAAGATAAACCGTGCAAGAAGTTCAGTTAAAACGAACAGGCCTATTAATAACCTCGAATAATAAAAGATTCATAACTTCAATTGATCTAAACTCATCCAAAATGTAACATCTAGTAAATTTTGCTGCAAAATGGCTGCACCAATCAGGAAGTGAACGTTAGGTTTCTATACTCGCCCTTGAGGATCTCTATTAGGCGCGTTCAGCAGACCAAGCCGCTCAGTAGCAGTCGAACGTGATTGGCTTTTACTTTTAGAACCAACCAATCAACGCAGAGTGTTGATAAGACGAACTCAACAGTTGTGTCTGCTGAACGCGGCCATTGTAGACAAGCACTAAACGTAAGTCAATTTCAACTGCCCATGAAAACCTACCTTTATACTGTGACGGAAGGACGGAACGTTTGTTCGGTTTTGTCATGGAAATTGTAGAATTGTCAAAGCATGAAAACGAAATAATTCCCAATTACACATGTGGCATTCCGAGTTGTCGTAATATTTGTCATGAATGGATGTTAAAAATGCCCCGAGAATGTTTTGATTACATTGTCTTTGAGGTTAGAAATGAAGTATCAAAAAGCGTTATCATAATAACATTAGTGTTATTAGTATTATTTCAACGAGAGTTTGTTTTGCGTACTCGCTAACAAAATTTCGAATAAGGTCAAACGTCTTGGATGGAAATTAAGTCGGCATTTTATGGAAACATATTAGTCGACGAATAAGTCAACACGAATACGAGAAATAGATCAAGGTAAACGCCTGACTGTGATATTTTTACATCTTTTGTGAAAAGACCTGATTGTTGATGTTATTGAACAGCGAAAAATAACGCGGAATTTTATTTGTAATTAACAGCAGAATTACAGAGTTACAATATGCTGAAAACTTTCAAATGCCTTCAATGTGACTCGACCTTTGATCGTGCCTCGCAATTGGACTATCACCGACGAAGTTTACATCTAGGAGAGAGGTCCCAGATATGCCAAATATGTGGAAAAGGTTTCTTTCGGAAGGCAGACTTGCGCACTCACTTGAACATTCATCTGGGAACAAATTTTCATATTTGCGAAATCTGTGGAAGGAAGTTCAGTCATATATCAAATCTTATAAGACACTGTAGAATGCATACAGGTGAGATATATAAATATAATAATATATTAATTATAATAATGAAAAATAAAGTAAGAATTTTTTACGAGCTGCAAATAAAGTTGATAACCTGAAAGTTTTATAAATATCTGTATTTATTTCATATACAGGAATTAAACCATATCCGTGTTCAATTTGTGATAAGAATTTCACGCAGATGTCTTCGCTAGCAAGGCATACACAAATGATACACGGGATACCAAAGGAAGTTGCACAGCAGTATTATAATCCTAGTCTTATTAGCAATAAATCACGAATCAACAGTCATACATCGAAAGAAAACAAGGTGACGAATCTTTTTTTTTCTTTTTTTTTTTCATAGTTTCAATTAATATTTCCTCTGTCTTATATTACTATTATGTTGCAAGAAAACAATAATTGATCGCTAAGCAATTTTTCTTATTGCAAATTTCTCTCTTGCAACTCTTGCAAAACTATAGAAAGTATTATTTCCAATATAAAAAATATTCTGCGAACATTTTATTATGCAGAGAACATTGTATTATACATTGTATTATAGAGCGGAGCAATTATAAGAAAATATTGGTTAAATTTGGACTTTTTCAACTATTAAGCTAACGATTAAGTTGATAATATTTTCCATTAAGTATATCTAATGCTTATGTATTGTTGTGGATTTTTTCAGACAATAGATAATAATGTAGAAAGTAAATTTCGTGAGACATCTCACATGGAGCCGAAATATACTAGCCAGAATACTACTAGAGATTCAGATGTAAAAAGTGAGATAATTTCCGATCAACGTGACGTTGATATGGACATTAAAGCATGTTTATTCGAGACTGTCATTTGTGTCACATCTAAGCAGGTAAATACCTGATATTTTAGATTTAGTCATTGTAATATGAATATAAATATCTAATATAAAATGTATGAAAAGTTTGAAGAAAGTAATTTAGCAGAAAATGAGAGTACAAATCGATTGCCGCAAGATCATTTTGCCGAAATTGAGGAAAGATTTGGAGCTACTGATTTATCGACGAATAATACTATCATTTCAAATTCTTCTCAAGATGTAGTTAATAATTATGAACAAATACAATCCAAGGACAGTATTACGTATTTACATCAATTGGATAAAAATATTTTTGCCTTCTTACCTCGAGATAGAAAACCTAGTACTGAATCAGAAACCCAAAGTAACGAAAACATTTTGAGATCAAATGGCTTAGATATATGTATATCCCGAGAGGTCGGTAAAGAATCTTCCATAAGCAACGTGAGAAATTCATTAAATATGGAAACAAATCTACAAACCTGTAATTCCAGTGAAGTTTTAATGGACCAAAAATTTCTACATAAACAAATAAGTAAAGAACGTATTAGTGAAAATAGAAAATGTAATAAACCATTAAGCGATGACGACAATCAGTTGTATATAGAATTCTCTAATTCAGGAATGTTGAAATTTGATGAACCTCGATATTTTAATAATATCAGTTTAGCTAATGTGAATGTTAATCATACCACAAAGTCTCATCATTCTGAAAATATCGTTGCTAACGAAGTATGTACTCCCGACGCTATGCAGAATCAGGAGGGCTTGCTGCACAATGAGGAAAATCTAGAAAATTTCAGCAACGCCTGTAACAGTGAAGAACCAATGTTGCGTTTAGTACAGACAGAGACTGGTGAGCAATTTTATGAATTTATAATAAGCAATTTGGTAGAAAAAATGCAAAACGCTTCATCTACAAAAGATCTCGAAGATACAGTAGAAGATCCATCAAATACCTTTAGAGATAATCAAAAGATCAATTCAAATTCAAAAGACAGTGAGAAGAGCGATCAGATAGAACATCAACAAGCTCTGGACGGCCTTATTGATATAAATAACGAATTTAATTATACACAATTTGATTTTCATAGAGAGGAAAAAAGTTATGCTGTCCTAAGCCATGGTGAATCAGAACATTTCCAACAGAATTCAAAGGGCAACGAGTGTGTAAGTAACATGCAGGAAAAAAATATGCAGGTCTACAATTCTGGAAACTTAGAATTATTGGAGAACGAATCGCATGTAGATTTTGACAAATATGTCGAAACTAATCTCGAGGCATTTGAAAGGCTGAATTATGAGAATTGCAACGAAAGGTTTTTGGAATTCGTGGAGGTTGCTGATATCGGCATAGAATCCTCAGGGTATAAAGAACTCTCGATGGTACGTTTAATTCAAAATGACGGTGAACAGCTGTTGGAGCTGTTTCAAGATTCTCAGGCTGAGCAGGAAGTGAATCGAGATTTCGCACAAGCTAATAATTTCAAAGACTGTTCGAATATTTTGCAAGATAGTAATAAAATAGCTGACTGTCCCAAAAGTAAATCAGACTTCTTCATGTACGTCGAGGATAATGTGCCATTAGGAGAAAATGTAAATAGCAAGCGAGGCATAGAGAATACTGAAGGATGTACAGACAGTGGTAGCCATTTGCCTACTGACCTAACGACTGGTGAAAGTGCAGGTAACAAGAACTGTATCAAAACATCAGAAGAATTGAAAAAATCGAAAACAATTTCAAAAAAATTCCAATGCTCCGTATGCAAGAAAGCATTCTCGACAGCATATAATTATAAACAACATATCGGAATACACTTTACCGATCAGCAAAAATTTCATTGTAAAGATTGCGGGGTGTCCTTTGCTTGGAAATCTACTTTGAATAAGCATATCACAAACAATCACAGCTCGGACGGTCCGCAAAAGTTCGTCTGTGAGATTTGTCCGAAAGTCTACAGCACCTTATCACAAGTAAACGTAAGTCTCAGTTAATTAATAATAATTTATAATCAGTATACATATATAAATACCATTACGCCTTACACTACACTTAAGAATTTTGTGGACTACTGATTGGTCATTATTAACGCAGACGACATATATTTGTTCTATCTTATACATATATTCTACAAAGTAATCTCTACCGTTGCATACCGTTGGCCACAATGAAGGATTTGCATCGCAGTTATGTAGTCGGCGCAAAACAGTTTGGGTCACAGATGCGTAAATTGGCACAGGATATTCACATATCGTTAACTGTAACAATAGGATGAAGATGATTTCTAGGTGGATTGTAGCAAGCACAGTTAACAAGGAACAATATGTGAATATCCTATGCCAATTTACGCATCTGTGACCCAAACCCGCGGAAATATTTCTGTCTGAAAATCACGTGCTGACCTTAAAATATCTCTCTAAAAAACTAAATAATTTTTAATAATAAGAAAAATAGGATATTCACTGTTACGATATTCAATCAAATTAGAATCAAAGCCATACTTTGCTTCTAATTTTTTCGAGGAAATATGATCATTGTATTGTAAATATGACATTCTCAATGTTCTCATACAGGAGCATGTAAAGAGGGACCATTTAAAGCAGCGCAATCATGTTTGCCTGCACTGCGGCAAGTCTTTCTTCAAAAGATTCGACCTAAAGACTCACAGTAGAACGCACACAAATGAACGTCCATATGTGTGTCGCGTTTGTGGCAAGAGGTTTCATCATCAGAGTCATATTATTCGTCACGAGCGCACGCATTCAGGCGAACGGCCGTATGTTTGTGACATGTGCCAAAGGACCTTTACGCAACCCAGTTCGTTGAAGGCACATAAGCAGAAGCACCAGCAGATCCGGATGGATTTTCTGGATTACCAGATCGATGAGGATGATCCTACTGCACCGGCGACGCTATAAGACATGTGATAATGAGATAAATGTTAACGCGATATGTTTCGTTTGGCGTGGGAACAAGGCAGTGGATGTATAATGCCAGTAATAATCAGTCCTACAATTTCTATTTTATCAGCATTGTTATGGTCATGTTGTTATCTTTTTAACTAAAACTGTTTTTAAAAAACCATGGAACAGTGTCTGTACTTATTTATTCGCATTGAAACATAGCATATAATAGATAATCGCGAAGTTCGTAAGATTTTGCAAATACAATTGATATATCCTTTTTAATTGTATCAAACGTTTTAAAAGCGACTTCGATGATAAGGCCACATGGTCTCACAGATGTATATCGATATACGTATAAATATTGGCGTTTTCGATTTACTACTCGACCGGCGACCCGAGACCCGACTCTGCCCGACTCGAGTCGCATCAATGGACGTGGAATACATACATAGATATGTCGAACATCGGACGCAATATGAATCCTCCATTAATCTGCGGCAAAATCAGAATTTGTTGATTGGTCAACGCACTCTGCCACCTGCCACACGGCGTTGCCGCGTCTATGGAGTCTAGCATTAGTGGAGAAAAGAAACTATAACCTGACCTAACCAAGATCCGGCAACTCTCGACCGTTTAGAGAAAAAGCGTGAGTAAGTTCTTAACGCAGTGTTATTCTTTTATATTCTTTCGTAATTCAATGTTAACCTTTTATTTTCTTAAATTAAATTGAAAAAATTTTAAAGAATTGATATTTTCCAAAAGGGAAAACAAAGTATCGCAGCTTATCTTAACGCGTATATTTGTTAACGCAAAATCGAAGATATTTAATTTCAGAAATATAAATTATTGTTGCGATTACATTTCTTTATTCAGTATTATTTAGTATTAATATTTAATATTAATTTTTAATATTCTCGATTTCTTTTACCCTTTGCTGTCGCTTTTATCGTTGCAGAAAGGGAAGACGAAAGGATACTGACGTGTCATGACAGAGAAAAAGTGCACAGTGACGCACATGCCACATCATGTGCAACAAAAATTGTGTCGAACTAGACCACTTTACAGGCAAGGAAAGAGATTGACAGCAGTGAAGGTAGCGTTGAAGACTTGTATCCTACTGTAAAATCAAGTTTCTATTTTACTCATTTTTAATTAGTATTAATTTGTTATCTCACCATATTAGATTAAGTAAATATATTATGCCTAGATAGCCAAATCTGTTGATAACAGATTTTGCTAAGTATCTGCTACGAATCTTGCTAACCGGATGTCAGCAGAGATATAATTGATTCCGCTTGGTTTTGTCTATCGTCAGATTATATGTCAGCAGGCTCTATTGGCAGAACGCAAACTTAATACTGATGCACTTTGCTGCAATGTTTTGTCTAATGTTAACAACTGCAATTATAATAATTATAATAATAATTATAATAATCATTTCATGTCACTGTTTAGCCTTATTTTTATGAAAATGTACTAATTGTAAGATCTTTAATTGTGTTACAATATATCTTATTATTAACAATGTCTGTGTCAGAAGGACAATAATATTTGTAGTAATTAATCTTTTGAATTAAAACATAAAGTATTATTGTTAAATTTAATTTGTGTATCTTATGATTTTTTTGGTTCTCTTTAAATTAAGCGATAGCTCGCATACTATTTCCTTGACGAATTAGCTCTGTGTAACAGGTTTACACAATTAATGATGAATCACAGCATTTGCTAATATGTGGAGTACCACAGCTGCAGTTAGTGGAGGAAGTGAAAAAACTCATTTGTCCCTATGGAAGTATGAAAGCGATTCAGTTGGTCACTGAATATCCTTCCGAGGAATTTACAGAAACATATCATGTGCATTACGCACATATTCAAAGCGCCAGGTACGTATTCTTGTTCCAAAGAGATCATGTAACACACAAGAGAATCCATGAATATATCTGGTTATTCAAATTCATCTCTTCCACAGAATAGCGAAGCGCTTTATTGACAATAAGAACTTCTTCGGCGGAATTTTGCATGTTTGTTATGTTCCTGAGTTGGAAACTCTAGAAGAAACGAAAGCGAAACTTGAGCAACGTCGTAAGGACGTGGCGACGCAAATAAAAAGAATTCAACAGGAGTCGGTGAACCCAAAAGTAGATAAATTTATTCCAAGGTATGTTTAAATATTGTCGCTTTTATTAAATGTTATGATGAATGTTGGGCGCGCGCACACACACCCAAGTTTTAGAGACCTGATCAATAAGTAACTTAAAAATTATCCATGTAGTCAAACATGTCAATAGATTTTCCAAAGTGTGCTTAAAAATTTCATCAGCAGAAATGGAACAGAATCTGTTGGCGGAATATGATAGCAGATTAACTGAAATCTATAGGGAGAATCTGCGTTTCATAACCATTTAAACGATACATTCTATTTAAACGGTTCCGAAATGACGTATTCTGCTTGGTTTTCGCTGGAAATCTGCAAGATTATTTCGGCAGACTCTGCTGACGGAATATGTTTACTTAATGCAAATGCAGTTAATGTCAATCTATTGCTCAAGTCTAGCATATATCGTTGAAATTTTACTTGCTGGGCGCATGTTGATAATAAAAATTACATGTTACATAAAAAAAGAGTTATGTATTAGACTACGTCCAATTATAAATATCTAAATTGTAGAGAACAGTATCATAGAAAAAAAAGGACTCCTGCCTTGCCTCTCACCGAGAAACGTATCAAGCATTGTTATCCTGGAGAAACGTTGTCTTCTATTTGCAAGGGGATACCTCAGAATATAGATCCACGACCTGTACCCGAGCCTCGTTTACCAATTAATTGGGAAGATGATCGTAATAGCAGCACCGTATCTAGTTCGGAACTACATCCGGCGCCGTATCAGTCGACTGAGGCAGTGATACAAGCGGGAATTCAGCAAGCGAATAAAAATCCAGATTTGAATGAGAGAAAATGGAAAAATTACAGGGGACACCATATTGACAACAAAGTCAAAGTTGTTCGGCCGCGATTAATAGATACCAGAAATATCGCGAGATTAAATTTCACCGAGAAAACGAATATATTTTCTAATGTAAAGAAAGTAGAAAGCGGAATCACAATCAAGCTATTGGAAAGATCTGATAGCGAGAAAAAGAAGATAGTTATAAAAAATCCAAAGTATGTATCCCCCGACATGCGTATATGGGATGTCCCAAAACACTTCACGGTTTTGAAATATAACACAGAGGGGCAAACAGGCTCTAACGTACGTGTTTACCTATTTGGCTCTCTCTTACTAAATTATTAAAATATAAATCTATAAATTATAACGCAAATATTAAAAAAGCTGTTACTTTTTGGGATATCCCCTATATTTTATACATCACAAACTGTTTGTTATATTTTAAATATAATCTATATACCTCACCGTAATCTGTTTCAAATGTGTCTTTCAGTGTAACATCTTTGGTAAAATCCAGCAAAGACCTTCAATCTTCGATTCAAACAGCAAAAGCTCAAATTCGCACGATAATGCAGAAACACGATACTTGAATAAATACCGAAAATGTTATTATGAATATTATTTATTTTAGTAATTTTATTTATTTTACAATCGTTTATTCATTTCCAAATGATTACATCTGCATGCCATTTTTTGTACTTAATACTAAGTTCGCTTATATAACTAAACAAATTCACTTACTGCCATTCCTATCCTTATTATATCGTAAATCAGCTAATCTAACATGTTAAATATTTAAATGAGGACCGTGGAATTTGGATCCCATTGAATTCCATTTCTAGTCTTTCCATTATACGTCTTACATGGCGGTGTATTCTCTTGTTGCATTCTAGTAGGCGTAGCCTTGCCCCTCAATAACTGTTGCGGCTTTTTTTGCATTTGACCATTATTAGACCGATTGCCAAGTGGTGTTCGATTCTAAAGAAATTATTGACATTTGCAATTGCAAAAAGTATAATTTTATGTATGCATATATATCGTTATGGTGTCGCGTAAATTACCTCATTAATTTCAGTTCCTCGTTTATTCTCAGGAGTAAAAACCTTTTCTTCATTAAGTTTAACATCTACTTTAGCATTCTTTTTCTTGTTTCCTTTTATGTCTCCTTTTTTTCGAAAATCTTCTGTTGTTTTTATTAGCTTTAAAGAGGTACTAATCGTGGTATATTTATCAAATGTTATAATTACATCTTCCCTTGAAACTTTTTCTTGCGATAACGCTTCCTGATCCTCCTTACCTGATACGCTTTCCTGCGACGACAGTGAATCGTGCCATAGTTTAATCTTATCATCGTCTTTCATCCACGTATTAGATTCGATATTTTCGTAAACATTCTGGTTTTCTGTCTCGTCTTTGTTGTCTTCCTCATTATCAATTGCAACTGTCCGTTCGTCCGAGATCAACGATTTTTCCTTCACATTCGTAAATTTTGAGTTCTTAATAACCGTGATTTCCTTCTCACTTTTGGAAATACTTAAATCAGAATCATACTGCGATGTAGTGAGTGATTTATCCTGTTTTTCCGTATCTGGGGTTTCCAGGGTTTCTGAAGCTGTGTTAGATAACAATATTTCCGAGATACTAAGTGATGTACTGGTCACCTGAAGAGAGTTCTTTGGATTGTAAATATCTGTTTCGTAGCTGCCTCTGCGACTCAAATTTTCTTGCGATCGTGCCTTTATCAACGCGAGAGACCTCGGCATTAATATGGGCGTTCTATCGAAATCTGCAGCTGGAGATCTAGGGTCTAATCCCAGAATTATAAAGCGTTCCTTATCTATCGGCGTAATTACCTTCGAACTCTTAGCAACATTAACATTCGGCGTTAAATAATTCTCATCCTGCAAAAAAATAAATATCATACGTTAAACTTTTTTATCCCAAAAAATGACTGGACAAATAAAGCATGCTTATAAGATGGCTTTTATCCATATAAGATATGTAGAAACGCTTAAACCAAACTATCAACTCAATTGTCTCGTTAAATTAAATTATAAGAAAGTTTTCTAAATAAAGTTATTTTGTTTAAGAAAATCTATATAATGACTTTTCTTTTTTAAATGTTTTAATGACAGTTTTATTTCTTTTCAGCAGAATAATATATCTATTTTATTACAGATTTTTGAGGTATTCTATGACTAATTAATTAACGTGTAATTTTTGATAGTTGATACTTTACAAAACTGTAATAAAATGTTATATTTCAATTTAAAAAACTGTCATTAAAAAATAATTTAAAACTTTTGTTTAAGTTATTATATAGATTTTCTTAAATAAAATATTATTCAAAAAATTTTGTTACAATACATTGTAATAAATTCACGCAAAAATATTATTAGGCATGAAAGATCCAGCCTAACTGAATAAGGCACATTTTTATTTACTTGTAGTATTCGTTATCATAGATCAATTTTCACTTACTAATTTCTTCATAACTCTATTACTTAGAAAAATAACTGACAATACATTTAAACCAAATGTATCATAATATATCCCAATTTTATTCAGTACACGCGAGAAAAGTGTAAAATAAAGGAGTTAAATATTAAATAACATACAGGTTCTGACTGTTGATCATTGTTCATTGATTTCAATATACGACATTTCTTAGGCGTCAGTGGTGGCATTACTACATCCAAATCAGTTTCAAGATACTGCTTTTTCTGTAAATACTTCGGGATTGCACTAAGTGTATCTCTGCTTACTCCAACTGGAGTACACTTGACCTATTTAAATATTGAGATTTATTATTTGCATGTTCTTAAATAGTATATAAATGGAATATATGTATATAAAAAAATTTTTTTCTACAATAAGATTGTTAGTAGAATTTTACTTCAATAGGAGTTCTTGTAATTCCTGCCGAGACTGAGCGTGGATCACCCAGTATTCTTTTTTCAGACAGCACTGGTGTGCACGTACTGTTGTCTTCCATAGTTACTTGCTGTGCAGCTGTTTGTTGCTCGTCGCATTCCTTTCGACTCTCATTAGTATAAGATAACAGCTTACTTGCGTAATTGCCCATGGTACTTGAACACAAGTGATCAAAAGTAATCGTTACAAAAAGCCTACCTCCTGCAAACAAGAGTCAAGTAGCGACAATACAAAATCTCTTAGTATACAATTTATGACACTAAAGAGGTTGTGTAAGTTTGATAAATGTAATAGTAAGCTTTACAAACAGAAAAATTATGGGGGAATGTTTAACAACTGTAGACATAACGCACAATTCCAAATACATATTTAGTGAAAATAATTGCGCTAAAAATGTAATAAATGTATTAGCATGGAAATACAAACTCGAATCTTTATTCTTACAGATTGAACTTGTTCAACTTATTCTATTAATAATTTTTGTTTGATGTGTTTATCATTTAATTAAAGTAAACAACGTAGTGCAATAATTAATAAAAATAAGCGGCAGTATTACATAAATAGTGGAATTCCACAGGATTAAATGACAACGTCTCCGGAAATCCGACCAAGCGACCAACGAACTTTCAATGTTTACTTTCAAAGTCAAACTGACAAACGTTCAAGCGGTACATATCAACGTTACCAACGTAGACATGCGAGAATCAAGTGCTGCCAACATAGGGCGCGTTCAGCAGACAAGCAGCTCAGTAGTAGCCGAATGTGATTGGCTCTTACTTTTAGAACCAACCACTCAACGCAGAGTGTTGATAAGACGAACTCAACAGTTGTGTCTGCTGAACGCGGCCATAGAATCCACACTTTTTACCTCAATGAAGTTAAGTCACAGTATATATACTGTGGTTAAGTCCCGGTCTACAATAGATGTTTTAAGCCCTAAAGATGAAATTTTATGGGCAGTGAAAAGCAGCAGCAGATTGTACTGATTGGCTACAAAATAGAGAAGTTCTCGAGTTTCTAGAACTTCTCTATTTTGTAGCCAATCAGTACGATCTGCTGCTACTTTTCACTGCCCATGAAATTTCATCTTAAGAGTGCGGTCACATGGACTGATATTTTCCGCGTAACCAATCAGAAGCGCGAATATGCGTAACTGAAAATGCGAAACGCTTCTAATTGGTTACGCGGTTACGCGTTACGCGGAAAATATATGCCATGTGACTTCAGCCTAAGGGCCCGGACACACACTTCTGCACAACGCATAATTCGTAAGCATAAGAAAATTGATTGGTCCATACACATGTGCATAAGAAAATAGACCAATCAATTTTCTTATGCTTACGCATTATGCGTTGTGCAGAAGTGTGTGCTCCTCGCTTAAAGGCCATCGCACAAAAAATTGTATAGGCTGCATAAGCATAGCATAAGACCGCTGGACCAATGAGCATCCAGCATAAAGTCGCCATATTGATTTACATAAGATGCTCATTGGTCCAGCGGTCTTATGCTATGCTTATGCAGCCTATGCAATTTTGTGTGCAATGGCCTTAAGCCCCTTGCACAATGCTAGGCAACGGGCAATAGAAACAGGGAATAGAAATCAGAAATCATGTATAAATGCAGAATAAACATTGACACAGGCAATAGACACAGAGTTTCCGTCACGTTGGAAATTCTGTACCTATTGCCTGTTGCCAACCAATCATAGCATTCGAATTTTTTAGGTTATATATAATTAACGATTTTTTGGTTATTTTCTGTTCCTATTAGGCTTGTTCGCGTTGCTTGAAATCCCCAAACATTTTTGCACTTGAAATGAGATAAATATATATTCGACGACGTTGGAGAGAGAGAAAACGAAGATGCAAAAAGTGCAAACAACGCGAACAGACCCATTGTCTATTGCTTGGCATTGGGCGCGTTCAGCAGACCAAGCCGCTGAGTAGCAGTCAAACGTGATTGGCTCTTACTTTTAGAACCAACCAATCAACGCAGAGCGTTGATAAGACGAACTCAACAGTTGTGTCTGCCGAACGCGGCCATTTGTGCAAGGGGCTTTGAGCGAGATCTGGCGAGATCTGGAACGCAGCCTAATAAAAGAAGAAGAAGAAGAAGAAGTCGGTATGACAGGTTTCATAACCTGAATATAGTCGTCAACTTTAACGATAAATATCTCGCTTCACGGAGCAGTGCGACGCTTTTTTCTGCCAGATTTTTTGTTTCGCGCAAAAACGCGACGATTGAGCATAATTTCATCGATATTGGAGGTGAGAATCCTAAACTGGATAATTACCCAGATTTTTGCACAGTGGTTTCTACAAATTTTGAATATCGAGAGAATTTTGTTAGCAATGAACACATTGGCAGATCCTACAGAAACTTAATGGAATCTCCCGTCTGGAAACCATTTGAATGATATACTTTATTTAAATAGTTACAAAAAATGACAGATGTTGCTCGGTTTCTGCTATCAAATTACATTGATAGACTCCGCAAGCAAATTGCTAAATTGCTACCATGATATTGCTTTGTCTCACTTATATTGGGTTGTCTTTTTCAATTGCAGATATTCCAGTTATATATAAACTATAGATTTATAAGTACAGATTAGAATTAATAATGAAGAACATAAACGAGGGAGCAGATTTGTCAAGCTCGGAAGATGAAACATCTACAAATATTCTGAGAGAAGCAATTGATCAGCAATTTCTAAACAATGATATGTACAGCATGAAAAAAGTCCAAGTTACTCCTGGTGAGTAAAACTAATCTTATTTTTATATCACACTTTCATATTTACCAAATAGATCATAGAAACATTATATGTTAATTACTGTTTAAATTTTTTAAAGAAGTACAAACTAACAAACTGGGCGAAAACTCCTTGAGCTCAAAGCAGGAGGATAGATTTACGAATTTTGGTGTTACTGCCACGTTTCAGAGTTTTATCGCTAAGAAACTAGATGAAATTTTGGAACGGTAAACATTAAAGCAAATACTTCAAACGTTTACAAATATTATTCTATTTTTAATTACCATATGCAAATTCCAATTGTAGAACTATAGAGTTAGAAAGCAGGGAAACTATCAACTATTGCGCCGAACAAAAACGGAGGAGAAGCAAAAGCTCTGGGATAAAACTTCTAAGTACATCGAAAAAATTGTTGACGATCACGAAAGTCACAGAGGACTGTACGGAGCGAAGAGATCCAAAAGAGATTGAAAAGAGATCCAAAAGGACTAGACAAATTGCAGAGGATGATGAGGATGCCTTTTCGAAATTTCGAGAAGCCGCTATCGACCCGGAACGCATATTGAGCAAATTAGAGACAAAAGCTTGGGTCAATAAACGTCCAGAATCGGAATTCAAATATAAAAGATTACAAAATGGCATTTTAATCGAGATGTAGCATTACTTTTTCATTTGCAATTGTATATATGTATATGTTGTATAAATGTAGAGATAAGATTATTTTCCATAATTTTCTTATTTTTATTGAATCGTTCTCGACGAAATACATGATCTCTCTCTCTCTCCCTCCCCTCTCCTCTCCCTCCTTTTCTTTAATAAATTTTTAATATTTAACATTAACAATTTTAATTGCTTTTATTGATGAATATTAACCCTAGAAGGATTTTTCTGGATCTGAGAGACCCGGCCAAATTTTCGAGGGACTGGCATCGCGGGGCTATTGACATTATGAAGATGGCCCTGCGACGTAAAAAAACTTTGGTCCTTCCTCTACCTCCTCTATTCTTCCGTCTGAATCAATCGTATATTAAAGTTAGCAGTATTGACCAATACTATTGGTTAATACGGCTAACTTTAACCGTCGGTTAAGCTAAACGTTCCAACACTCTCATAAACAACCTGGGTATTTTTGATGTAAAAAATAATATAAAGTTTAATACAAGCAGATCTGATTTGAAGCTATCCCCAATTATTTAAATACTTGTATATGTAAGTATTAATATATATTTAATTAAAATGTAATATATTACATTTTAATTACTTTTTAATATTTGTGTAAATAATTTTTATTACATTTATTTAAAAAAGAACTAAATCTTTATTAAATCTAAATAATTTGTTAATGCATTTTTATCAAATAAAATTTTATCTACATCTAAATTATTTGTTTATTAATAAAAAATAAAAATTAAATCATTTTATTAGCAGAAACATTAATATTATTAATATTACCTCGAAGAATTAAATATACATATAATGTACGTACGGTGTACGTACTATGTATAATCGAGTGTGATTGGTCTACTATAATTTTCTTACGGCCTTACGATTATGACTAAAACTTTGTTACGTGCAATGGCCTTAACGCTCGCGCAAACGTAGTAATTGTCACGTTTTTTAAATTTTGGGATTTTTACTTTTCCGGGCAATATACGAGTTTTCAAATTTTGGCACATTTTTTTTTCAGGACTTTGCGTTCCACCGTAAATTCATAACGCAATATAGATATAAAAACGGAAGTACGTATAACTCTTTTTTCACAAAAATAATTTAAAATTTATCTATAAACGTTATGATGCTATACGTAGTATCGCACTATTCTTTTGACCATGGCAGTAGTTCACCTCTTATTTTACGACGCGATGAATCGCCACTTCGAAATTTGAACTAGAAATCTATTCGCCGTTTTCGCATATTTTGTACATATAAAAT